TAGAAGGATGTGCAGCTATGACATACAACTATCTACTGGGGCTTTGGGGGGAAAAAATAAATAAATAAAATCTTTAAAAAAAAAAATAAAAAAAAATAAAAGTTTAGACAGAAGACAGTAATCACAGCACTAGAACTGAACGCTTATGCTCAGGTGCGTTATAGCCAGATACTGACTCTTTTATTAGCTGCAACTGAGGCGTCAGCGGGGCCTCCACCACCTTTGACGCTATTGCTTTAACACTTACTGATGACCTACTACATGTCAATCATTGCTCTAGGCACTGGGAATGCAGTAAAACAAATCGACAAAAGTTCCTGCCCTCGTGGAGCTTCCATTCTAGTGAGGGAGTGGTTTACTGTGAAAAACAAAATAAATAGTAAAATATACAGTGGTAAGTGCTATGGAGAAAAATTGAGTGAGTGAGAGTGTGTGTATGCGGTTGGTTGAAATTTTAAACAGAGTGATCAAGGAAAGACTCACTTCACACGACAAGTAACTATGGACCTGCAAGAGGTGAGGGAGGGAGCCACACAAAGACCAGGGAAAAGACTATTCCAGGCGGTGGGAAAGCAAGCGTAAAGGCTATGAGGTATGAACAAAAGTGCTCTTGGGTCTTCTTTCTGTAAGCTCTGTTAGTGCCTAACAGCCGGAGTGAGCTTCTTTTTATACCAAACACACACACACAATTTATCCCCATGACTTAAACAGTCCAACTGCCAAATCTCTACCTACAGCCCAGAAAACTTATCTGAACTCCAGAGCCTAATGGGCATCTCCACATGGTTACGTCACAGGCAACTCACATTCAACATGTACAAAACCAAACTTTTATCCAAACTTCTTCCCATATTTTGTATTTTGTAATTCACCCAGTTACCTAAACCAGGAACCTTCTTCCCTTTCCCTGACCACCCACCTCTAATACACGACTAATTTTCCTTGACTCTCTCTTCACTGCATCTCTTTAATGTAGCGCCTCCTTTGCCTTCTTCCAGCAATTGCTTTTTTTTTGGCCTCCGTCTTATTTTTCTGGGTCCCTGAGAGTGCTCTCCCACTTCTCACTGCTGTCACCTACTAATCCCCTGGTTCTCTCCTGTAATTCCCTTTCCTCTTCTCAAAGATTTTGCTGCTTTGGGTAGACCCTCACTCTCCATCTTTTCCTCACTATTGGATTCTTCCCGACAGCATATACAAACGCTCTAATATCTTTCCTTCTAAAAAACTCTCCCTTGATCTCACATACCCCCTTAGCTACCACCTTACTTCTCAGTGTCCCTCCACAGCCAAAATTCCCCACAGCTGTCCACTAAAACATATGCAGGAACTTTATCTCTGAATTAATGAGTGAATACATACAATTACACATCTCCACCTCTTCTCCCATTTATTCAACCCAGTCCAGCGTGGCTTCCCTCTTCACCACTCCACGGATAACTGTCAACATTACCACCGATAATCTTTGAGACATTACTTCCTCTACAAAGCTTTTTTCTTTTTCTGCCAAGTATCTCCTGCAAACATACTTTTTCCATTTTGTGATTAATAAATATTTTTCAGGGAGATACTTTGAAATTATGTAAAATTTTCTTCCTCAGTACACTATCACACACTAATTTTAGCATTCATTGATATTTCTTGCATGCATTATTACAATGAAAGTTGCCAAAAAGCGATTTTTCTAATACCGTTATTCTTTTTTTAAAACTGAGATATAATTGACATATAACATTGTATCAGTTTTAAACATACAACATAACAATTTGATATACATATATACTGTGAAATGATTACCACAGTAAGTTAACCTCCATCACCACACATAGTTACAAATTTTTTTTTCTTGTAATGAGAACTTTTAAGATCTACTCTCTTAACAACTTTCAAATATGCAATACGGTATTGTTAACTATAGTCACCATGCTATACCTTACATCCCCAGAACTTATTTATAACTGGATGTTTGTACCTTTTGATCTTCACCCATTTCACTTAACCACCTTCACCCCACTCTGGCAACCACTAATCTGTTCCCCTTATGTATGAGGGATTTTTTTTGTTTCCTTTTTTTAAGATTTCACATATGAAGCTTTTCTTAACAGGTCTTTGTGTCCTTCCCCCTCCCAATAAATCTTAGGGCCTTTCTACATCCTTCTCAAATTTCTAGCCTAGCATTTATCGTATTTACAAGTGTTTCCAATCAGACAGTAAACTCCTTGAGAACAAAGACCTAGTCTTATTCTAGTATTTTCACACAACGGCATGTTCAACGAAACAATGAATAAATACGGGCGACTGTAAAAGCGACAAAACTGTGTGCTGACTACTAGCAACACACAGTTAGAGTGATACTTTTATTACCCTATCTGTAGTTTTCCGGTTAACGACAATGACTTCCTAGTTTAAGAACGACTCTAAAACTAATTGAAAAAAGATTTTCTAGGATAAAATAAAAGAGAATGACCTGCACAACATGTATACAACGTATCTGTCATATCCAAACACGTTGTTTGACAGTCAACAAAGACTACAAACCGCAGACGTAGATACGTTTGGCAACAGCGCCAACAAAGGTTCTACTCGGGCCGCCGCCTCTGGCGACAACCTCCCTGTTTTCAGTGCAGGCTAAAAACCTGGAAGAGAAACAAGTACTCCTCCAGGGCCGGGTGAAGCACCCCGAGTCGGGAAAGAGGCGCCTCCCGAGAGGCAGCAGCCCCCAGCCGGGCAGTGGAGAGTTCGCGAAAGCAGGGACTCACCATCAGGAGGGTGAAACCCGCGAGGTCGGGAACCGATTCTCCGCAGGGAACAAACATGGTGGTCCCGAAGCGGAAGGAAAGGGATAAGCGCCGGCCTGGGAAGAAGCACGGCGCCAAGAAAGCGAAATCCGCAAGCTCAGCGCAGTTTACCGGCGCAGAGTCCCCCAAGTCCCCACGCGACCCGGGCTGGGCGGGGCCAGGCGGGCGGGGTCCTTCGAGTCCTTGGGCGCGGGGTCCTGAGAGGCCCGTCCAACTACATGCCGGTCTGGAGGGCAGAAAGGGACCGCGACGGGCGGAGAGATGAGGGCGGGCGGCGCATCTGGAGACTCTGGCAAGGCAAGGCGATGGGGTGCCCTGAGGTCGCAGGGTGAGGACCCCGAGGGAGGGGCAGCTGCGGGCGGAGATGATCAGGCAGAGCGAGGGACAGTCCCCAGGCTGGTTGTCCGCCGCCGTTTGAAAACAACAGTTGGGCACCTCCGCCGCCCAGCTCGCGCTTGACGCGGCGTCGCGCCCCCGGGAGCTGCGCGAGGCGAGCGGTGGCGCCGGCTTTGTGCTCAGCCACGACCAGCTCTCCGGGGCGGGTCGGGGCGCCTGAAGTGGGGAGAATTGGCGGCGAGGCGCCGGCTCCAGCATGTCGCTGCCTCCGGAGAAAGCCTCCGAGCTGAAGCAGCTCATCCACCAGCAGCTGAGCAAGGTGAGCGCCGCGGGCGCGCTCCTGCCCGCCGTGTGGCCTGAGCGCCCGGCCTGGCGTCCCTTAGGCCCGGCGGACGGCGGCACCTGTTTGCCGGGGACTCGAGCAAAGGCTGAGACGCGGAGCGCGGAATGCGCAGAGCCTCGGGTTTGACGCCAGAGGAACTTTCTAGTCTCAGTGAAAGAGCGAGCCCAGAAAGTGCCAGTAAAAGTCTGAGGTGATGGAGCGGTGTTAGTGTCGTAGGACAGTGTGGAAATGAAGCGTTTATCGGGGATTTCTGGAAGTCAGGTCGAGTATAAATTGTGTTTGGAGCAGGTTTATATTCAGAGGTGGGAATTAGAATTACTTTAAGGGTGAACCTTGCAGTGTCGTTGAAGTTGAAGCAAATGAGCAGTTCTTAAGTCACGAAAGAGACGTTACTAAAGGATTTGTAATGAAAGTATTTGTGACCCTTCTGGGCTCAGGAAGAACGTTGTCTTGGAGGCGCTCAGCTGAATGCAGTAAGCTGCTGTACCACGAACTCCGTGTATTGTGCGCTTGTTTGCCTTGCCGACTTTTGTGTATGCCTCACAGTCTTGACAGGGCACTTTTATTTCCTGATCCATAAAGGTTAAACAAGTTAACTGGAGGTCACATCTAATAAGTTGAAAGCTGAAATTCATACTTTGATTGTCTCCTCCAGGTCTGTGTTATTTTGGTTATACTGTACTCTCTCCAAAGATTTGTTTTGGTTGAGTGTTATTTCTGGGGAAACGGTGGTAACAAAGGTAGAAATTATATCTAGAATTTGTACTAAAATATATTCATCTAGGCATCTGGAATGACGTGAGGGTCATGGCAGAGTGAGCTTTCCCGTGAACTCTGCCCCCATAAGACACAACAAAAGTAACAGTCACAGACCAACAAGGGACTCCTAGACAGTGAAAAGGACAATCGGAAAGATCCGCACTGTGGCACATCTGAGAGTGGAACGTGCTGGGCCCCTGGAGGAAGTGGGGAGAGGTAAGGAGAGTTCCTCTCTCTCCCCATCAGATCAGTGAGCCTGGTCTGTTGGGCTCCCAGAGAGGGGGGAGGGGCGGCCTTCTGCGGGAAATTGTAGCTCTCTGGGCTGTCTCAGCCAGTGGGAAACTCCCACACAGAGGACTCAGACTGCTATGGGGTACCATCAATATCTGAGCACCCCAGGAGAGTGGATAAAGAGGGGCCAGTGAGAAGCCCCCCACACCAGGGACCTATTGGGCAAAAGAGAGAGCCGCCCCCCGCCACCATCACCGCATGCCAGACACTGCAGCTCAGCCAACCAGACCAGGCAAGACCAAGTGGCCAGTGGATCGTAGGGAGCAGTTGGGGCAGAATGCAGAGAGCTCAGATTACACAGCCCTTAACCCCCCCACAGGGTGGTGGTGGGTGGAAATTGCAACCAGATATTTCCAGGATGAGGAAAAACAAAGTCAATACAGGAACCACAATGCAAAGGTACATGAAATAGCCAGACCAGAAGGAAAATAACAAGAACCCAGAAACCAATCCTGAAGACACAGAAATCCATAACCTAAACGACAGAGATTTCAAAATAGCTGTCATAAAAAAACTCAACGAAATACAAAATAACACAAACAATTCAACAAGATTAGGAGTTTCTTCACAAAAGAGATTGAAATCATAAAGAAAAACCAATCAGTACTGATGGAGATGAAGAACACAATGGAGGAGATAAAGGAGAATCTGGAATGTTTAAAGAACAGAGCTGACAATATGGAGGAAAGAATTAGCATTATAGAGGATAGGTATACAGATATGCTCCAGATGGAGGAGGAGAGAGAACTAAGACTAAAAAGAAATGAAGAAAGTCTCCGAGAAATATCTGACTCTATTAGGAAATGTAACATAAGAATTATAGGTATTCCTGAGGGAGAAGAGAGGGAATGAGGAACAGAGAGCCTATTCAAGGAAATAATAGCTGAGAACTTCCCAAATCTGGGGAAGGAGCAGGAAATACCAGTAAGTGAAGCCAGTAGGTAGCCTAAATACGTCAACAGGCAAAGGCCCACTCCACGACGTATAGTGGTAAGGCTGGCTAAAGTCAATGACAAAGAAACAATATTAAGGGCAGCTAGACAAAAACAAAAAATAACGTACAAAGGAACTCCTATCAGGCTCTCAGCGGATTTCTCAACAGAAATTTTACAGGCTAGGAGAGACTGGAATGATACATTCAAAATACTGAAAGACAAAATCTTTCAGCCAAGAATACTCTATCCAGCAAAAATATCCTTCAAATATGCTGGAGAAATAGTAACTTTCCCAGATAAACAGAAGCTAAGGGAGTTCATGGCCATGAGACCCCCACTACGACAAATACTCAAGAAGGCCCTCAAGCCTGAAAAAAAGAAGAGAAAGGGAATACAAAGCTTGGAGCAAGGAGAAAAATAGGTAGACAAAATCAGAAAAATAGTAGATCTTTACCAGAAATAGGTTAGCAACCACTTAAATACCAAAATCAAAGATCAGAAGAAGGAAATCACCAAAAATAAATATAACCTCATCACTGTAAACACACACCGCAACACAAGATAGAATAAGGTATAACAAGAACGACTTAGAAGGGGAAGAGAAAAGAGATTGAATTGTCTTAATATAAGGAAATAAGAGGCCCTCAGATAATGGACTATCTCCTCCACAAGATTTTTTATACAAACCTCAAGGTAACCACTAAACAAATAATCAAAACAAAATCACATATAAACAAAGAGAAAACTAAAAGAGTCTTAAGACAGAACAACCAAACTGAATTGGCAGTCCAAAACACATGGGACAAGAAACAAAGGAAATGCAAAAGAACCAGAAAATAAGTGACAAAACAGCAACATTAAGCCCTCATATATCAATAATTACCCTAAATGTAAATGTATTGAACTCTCCAATCAAAAGATACAGAGTGGCAGGATGGATTAAAAAGCAAGACCCAACAATATGCTGCCTCCAGGAAACACATCTCAGCTCTAAAGACAAGCACAGGCTCAGAGTGAAAAGATGGAAGACAATACTCCAAGCTAATGGCAAACAAAAGAAAGCAAGTACTCATATCATACTCATATCAGACAGAGTAGACTTCAAGATAAAACAGGTTAAGAGGGACAAAGAAGGGAAATATATAATGATAAGAGGGATGCTCCACCAAGAAAACATATCAATTATAAATATATATGGACCAAACATAGGAGCACCAAAGTACGTAAAGCAACTATTAACAAACCTAAAAGGAGACATTAACAACAACACAATAATAGTAGAGGATCTTAATACCCCACTTACACCAATGGATCGATCATCCAGACAAAAAGTCAATAAAGAAACAGTGGATTTAAATGAAAAACTGGACGAAGTGGACCTAGTAGACGTATACAGAGCATTCCATCCAAAAACAGCTGACTACACATTCTTCTCAAGTGTGCATGGAGCATTCTCAAGGATAGACCATATGTTGGGAAACAAAGCAAGCCTCAATAAATTTGAGACGATTGAAATCATAACAAGCATCTTTTCAGACCATAATGCTATGAAACTGGAACTCCACTACCAAAAAAAAAACTGGGAATGTGACAAAAATGGAGAGATTAAACAACATGCTACTGAACAACCAATGGATCATTGATGAAATTAAAGGAGAAATCAAAAAATATCTGGAAACAAATGAAAATGAAAATATGACATACCAAACCATATGAGATGCAGCAAAAGCGGTCCTGAGAGGTTAACTCATAGTGATACAAGCTCACCTTAACAAACAAGGAAAAGCCCAAATAAGCAACCTTAAATTACACCTAACAGAACTAGAAAAAGAAGAACAAAGTCCAAAGTCAGCAGAAGGAGAGAAATAATAAAAATCAGAGCAGAAATAAATGAAATTGAGACAAAAAAACAGTAGAAAAGATTAATGAAACAAAGAGTTGGTTTTTTGAGAAGATAAACCAAATTGACAAACCCTTAGCCAGACTTACTAAGAAAAAAGAGAAAAGTCTCAAGTAAATAAGAAATCAAAGGAGAGGAATTACAACGGATACCATGGAAATACAAAAGATTATAAGAGAATACTATGAGAAATTATATGCCAATAAATTGGACAATCTAGAAGAAATGGATAAATTCTTAGACTCATACAACCTCCCAAAACTGGACCAAGAAGAAACGGAGAATCTGAATAGACCAATCACAAATCAAGAGATTGAAATAGTAGTCAAAAAATAAAAGTCCAGGACCACTTGGCTTCTCTGGTGAATTTTACCAAACATTCAAAGAAGATTTAATACCCATCCTTCTCAAACTATTCCAAAAAATAGAGGAAGATGGAACACTTGCTAACTCATTCTATGAGGCCAACATCACCCTGATACCAAGGCCAGACAAAGACAATACAAAGAAGGAAAATTACAGGCCAATATCGCT